TGATACAAAGACATCAGAAGAATTAAGAAAACCACAGATCAATATCCCTTATGAATACAGATGCAAAAATCCTCACCAAAACACTAGCAAACCAAAACCAGCAGCATATTAAAAAGATTATATACCATGACCAATTAGGATTTAGTCCAGGAATGCAAGGGTGGGTCAACATACAAATATCAGTCAATGTAGTATGTCATACTAATACAGTCACGTGCTACATAATGACGTTTCTGTTAACAACGGACTGTACATACAAAAGTGATCTCATAAGATTAGTATCACATAGCCTTGTAGTAGGCTATACCATCTAGGTTTGTGTAAGTACATTCCATGATGTTCGCGCAACAACGAAATTGCCTAATGACAAGTTTCTCAGCATGTATCCTCGTTGTTAAGTGATGCATGACTGTAGGAGGAAGGAAAGAAACTTCACGATCATCTCAATAGATGCAGAAAAAGCATTTGACAAAATCTAATACCCTTTCAGATAAAAACACCAAACAAACTAGGAATAGAAGGAAATTCCTCAATATGATAAACGGCATCTATGAAAAACCTACAGCTAACATTATACCCAATGGTGAAAGACTGAAAGCTTCTCACCTAAGATCAGGAAAAAGACAAAGATGCCTGCTTTTGCCACTTCTATTCAACATTGTCCTGGAGATCTAGCCAGGGTAATTAAGCAAGGAAAAAAAAAAGCTATCCAGATTGGAAAGGAAGAAAGAAAACTCTCTTCACAGATGACATGATCTTTAATATAGAAAACCCTAAAGAATCCACACAGAAAAAAATTAACTATTAAAGCTAACAAATGAATTCAGCAAAGTTGCAGTATAAAAAAATCAATATACAAAAATCAGTTGTATTTCTATACACTAGCAATGAAAAATCTGAAAAGGAAATTAAGAAAACAATTCCATTTACAAGTGCATTGAAAGAATAAAATATTTAGGAAGAAATTAAACCAAGGAAGTACAAGACTTGGACAGTGAAAACTACAAAACATCACTGAAAGAAATTTAAAAAGACCTAAATAAATAAAGACATTCCATCCCATGTTCATGAACTGGATATTTAATGTTGTTAAGATGGCAATATTCCTCAAATTGATCTACAGATTCAATGCAATTCCTATCAAAATTCCAACTGCCCTTTTTGCAGAAATGGACAAGATGATCGTAAAATTCATATGGAATTGCAAAAAAAAAAAAAAAAAGAACCCTGAATAGTGAAAATAATCTTGATAAAAGAAGAACAAAGTGGGAGTACTCACACTTCCTGATTTCAAACTTTACTACAAAGTGAGATTAATTAAAACAGTGTGGTACTGGCATAAGGATAGACATATATATCAGTGGGACAGAATTGAGAGTCCAGAACTAAACCCAAACATCTATGACCAATTCATTTCCACACAGGTACAAAGACCATTCGATAAGGAAAAAATATAGTCTTTTCAACAAATGGTGCTGGGACACCTGGACATCTACATGTAAAAGAAAGAATTTGGACCCCTATCTTACACCATACACAAAAAGTACCTCAAAATGGATCAAAGACCTAAATGTAAGGACTAAAACTCTGAAAAGTAGGTGAAAATCTACATGACTTCGGATTAAGCAATGTTTTTTTAAATATGACATCATAAACACAGCATTCAAAGAAAAAATAAACTGGACTTCATGAAAATTAAAAACTTTTGTGTGTCAAAGGACACTATCAAGTGAACAGACACTATCAAGTGAAAAGAATGGGAAACATTTTTGCAAATCATTTATATAAGGGTCTCATAGCCATAACATACAAAGAACTCTTACAATTCAACAATAAAACACAAATAACACGATTTAAAAATGGGCAAAGGATTTGAATAAACATTTTTCCAAAGACATACAAATGGCCAATAAGCACATGAAAAGATGCTCAACATCATTAGTCATTAGGGAAAGGCAAATCAAAACCACAATGAGATACCACTTTACATGCAGTAGGATGGCTATAATCAAAAAAGACAGACAATACCAAGTGTTGGCACAGATGTGGAGAAATTGGAACTTTCATGTATTGCTGGTGGAAATGTAAAATGGTACAGCCACTTTGGAAAACATTTTGGCAGTTCCTCAAAAGTTAAACATAAACGGGTGCCGGCCCAGTGGCGTAGCAGTTAAGTTTGCATGCTCTGCTTCGGCGGCCCGGGGTTCGTAGGCTTGGATCCTGGGCACGGACCAATGCACCACTTGTCAAGCCGTGCTGTGGCGGCGTCCCATATAAAGTAGAGGAAGATGGGCGTGGATGTTAGCCCAGGGCCAATCTTCCTCAGCAAAAAGAGGAGGATTGACAACAGATGTTAGCTCAGGGCTAATCTTCCTCACACACACACAAAAAAGTTAACCATAAAGTTATCACATAACCCAGCAATTCCACTCCTAAGTGTGTATCCAAGAGAATTAAAAATATACATCCATATATAAAAACTTGTGCCTGAATGTTCATAGCAATATTATTCGTAATAGCCCCAAAGTGGAAACAACCCATCGGCTGATGAATGAATAAACAAAATGTGATGTACCCATACAATGGAATATTCATCCATAGAAAGGAGTTACTGTGGAATGAATGTTCATGTCCCCCCCAAATCCATATCTTGAAGCCCTAATCCCTAATGTGATGATATTTGGAGGTGGTGCTTTGGGAGGTAATTAGGTTTATAAGAGGTCATGAGGGAGAAGCCCCCATGATGGGATTGGTGACCTCATAAGGAGATGAAAAGACCAGACCTCTCTCTCACTCCATGTGAAGATACAGCAAAAGGCAGCCATCTGTAAATTAGGAATAGGGCCTTTACCAAACCTGACCATAATGGCATTCTGATCTTGGACTATCAGCCTCCAGAACTCTGAGAAATAAATATTCGTTGTTTACGCCACCCAGTCTATGGTATTTGTTATTGCAGCTGGAGCTGACTGAGACAGGAATGAAGTACTGTTACAGACTGCAACATGGATGAGCCTTGAAAACATGCTAAGTGAAAGAAGCCAGACACAAAAGGCCACATATTCTATGAGTAAATTATATGAAATGTCCAGAAAGGCAAATCCATAGAGAAAGTAGATTAGTAGCTGCCAGGTGATGGAGGCAGAGTGGAAGTGGGACTATCTGCTAATAGGCATGGGTTTCTTTCTGGAGTGATGGAAATATCCTGGACTTAGACAGTGGTGATGGCTGCACAACATTGTGAATATATTAAAAATCGCTAAATTATACACTTTAGGGCCAGCCCCGATGGCCTAATGGTTCAAGTTCAGCGTACTCCACTTCGGTGGCCCAGGTTTGGTTCCTGGGCACAGAACCACACCACTGGCCTGTCAGTGGCCCTGCTGTGGCAGTGGTTCACATAAAAAAAAGAGGAAGATTGGCAACAAATGTTAGCTCAGGGCAAATCTTCCCCAGCAAAAACTTTAAAAAAAAAAAGATAAAAAATAAATAAATAATTATACACTTAAAAAATTATTAAAAAGGTGAATTTTATTTCAATTTTTAAGTTAATTTTTATAATTTTTTATCCAAATCATATTTACAACTATATATAAAATAGAAGCATTTGAAATAATATGATATAAAAATAGAGAGGTTGTGGATTTTTTTCCCTCTTTAAAAACTCTTAATTTTCAGTCTAGCATTGTTTATAATGCAAAAAAACTGAAACCAATCTAAATATCCATTATTAGGGAACTGATTATATAAATTATGATGCAGTTATCAAAAAGAATGAGACATATTAGTTGAAAAAAAGCAAACAGCCAAACATTGTCTGAAGTATGAGCCCATTTATGTGTTTTTTGTTTTTTTTTGATGAGGAAGATGAGCCCTGAGCTAACATCCAATGCCAATCCTCCTCTTTTTTGCTGAGGAAAATTACCCCTGGGCTAACATCCGTGCCCATCTTCGTCTACTTTATACGGGATGGCACCACAGTGTGGCTTGATGAGCAGTGCGTAGATCTGCACCCAGGATCCGAACCTGCAAACCCCGGGCTGCCAAAGCAGAGCACATGAACTTAACCGATACACCACCGGGCTGGCCCCTTATGTCTGTGTTTTTAATGCTGTGCAAACATACCTGTATCTGCACAAGCTTTTAATGGTGGTAACCACAGCAGAATGGGACTTGGAGACTTACTTTTAATTTTATGCCATTCTGTATTATTTGATATTCTAATAAAAAATTGAAATAAAATATTTGATTCCTCTTTTGGAATACAACTTCAAGTATTTGGATGGCTTTCAAACACAGTAGGCATTCAAGTATCTATTGAATATAACATTTGCTGTATGCAAGGAAAGCTTCTTTAAATGTTATTGTCTTTTACAATCAGAAAATAGATGTTGCAATAACATGATCTACATTTTCTGATGGATTGCACTCATTATAAGGCAGCATTTCCAAACAATTTGCCACAAAGCCATTTTACATGGTATATGTGCCACAAGAAGAAAAAACATTGTCAGGCGAAAAACATTGCTAATATGAAGAGAATACAAATGAGAAATTATATTGTATTTCTGATTACAGAACCAAAAATTATGTATTTATGATAAAAGTGGTTTGTGATCTTAGATATATAACATGACCCTGATGTAAGGATATTGTGCCTATAAGGTTACAAAGGCTATTTATTATAATGTAGGAAGAGTAAATTTGCTTGGATTCATGCACAGAAAGGTACTGATGATATATAATAATGGAAACATTATGTAAGTATTGAATTACATGAAAATCTACAAAAGGATATCTGTAGCATCAGAAGCCTTTAAAACGTACATCAGCAAAAATAAAGGCTACATATTCCATCTAATTCTTAATGTTGTCAAAGAATCTACAGGATTGGATGAACGCTGGGGAAATTTACTTTGAGGCAGAGAGGAAAATATGAAAACAAAAATCCATACTTCTACTTATCGAGTAATGATGGCAATATAAGAAAAAAAACCTACCTGCCATTCAAACTCGCTATCTGACCAATCCCAGTACGTGCTAATAGAAGAAGAGACATCACTGCAGACACTCCCCTCAGGGAATAAATCAAAAGAAGTGAAGTCTTGATCATCTAACAGAGAATAGCAATCATCTTGATCTCCAACAGAAACTGATGAAAACAGCTCCTCACTGCATTCTGAGCTGGCAACACTTGTTCCACAAGAAGTTAAGTTCCACCTTAAAAACACAACACAAAAGAAATCACAACAAGAACTACAGAATCTACACAATTTTAAGATATTAACAGGATACATTTATGACATTTATGAGAAATGTGAGTATATTTTTAGGTATGATAATGATATTATGATTATTTCTAAAAGAGCCCTTATCTTTTAAGGATTTATACTAAAATATTTATGAATGAAATATGTCTGGGATTTGTCTCAAAATAATAAGGAAGGGTTTGAGAAATAAATAAGGGTATAGATAAAGCACACTGCCATATGCAAATAATCATTGAAGCTGCGTGGTGGGTCTATGGGGTTCACTACACTATTCTCTACTTTTGTATCTGTCTGAAAATTTTTATAATAAAATATTTTAAAATAAAAATGTATTTAAATTAGAAGTAAAACCTTCATCCGTAAAGAAAACATATAGGTTAGTGGTTATGAGTAAGCTCTGGAGTCAGACTGAGTTCAAATTCTTGCTCTGTCACTTGCCTACTATTTGATTTTAAGCAAAATACACCCTCTCCAAGCCTGTGTCCTCATCTTTAAAATGCGGGTACTGTGAAGATTACATCTGAAGGCAGACAGAGCACTTAGCAGACAGAAAAAGTGCTCAATACATGGCAGCTATTATTATTATTAAAGGAAGACGGCAGTCATTGCAGGGCAAAGGAAAGCACCAACAAAGTATACAGGTAGAAGCTCAAAAAGTGTTTCTTATATTTAAATAACGTTTACATATCAGTGTTATATGTAACACTGATACATATCAGGATCATTGCAAAGATGGCGGAATAAGAAAGGAGTGATGAACAAGATTAAAACGACCAAGAAGGGGCCGGCCCGGTGGCGCAAGCTGTTAAGTGCGCGCGCTCTGCTGTGGCAGCCCGGGGTTGGCCGGTTTGGATACCCGGCACGCACCAACGCACTGCCTGTCAGGCCATGCTGTGGCGGCATCCCATATAAAGTGGAGGAAGATGGGCACGGATGTTAGCCCAGGGCCAGTCTTCCTCGGCAAAAAAAGAGGAGGATTGGCGGATGTTAGCACAGGGCTGATCTCACAAAAAAATAAATAAATAAAAATAAAAATAATTTTTAAAAAAAGATTAAAAAAAAAGCCACCAATAATTCCATTACTCAGCAATAACTAATCCATAATATTTTGGTACTTTTTTGTACACGCATATACGTTTTTTACAGAATCAGCATTCCGCATATATATTTTTTAGTATCCTGCTTTTTTTAACTTAACATTATATACTGAACATTTCCCCAAGTATATTACTTGAAAACATTCGAATACCTATATAATATTCCATTGATTAAGTGTATCATAATTTATTTAACCTTATTTCTTCAATAATAGATACTTAGGCTGTTTCCAATCTTTTTTGGTATTACAAAAATATTGAGATGAACCTTTTTTTTATAATTATTTATCCAAATATATAATCTCTCAGGATAGATTACTTGAAAGGAAAGTACTGCGTCAAAGAATATGAACACTTCTAAGGGTCATAGTATACTTAGTCAAATCCCTTTCTGAAAGGCTGCATCAATTTACACTCTGCAAAGCAGTATATAAAAGTGCTCATTTGACCACAACCTTAACAGCACTGGAATTTTCATTTTTACCTATCTGATAGGAGAAAAACATTTTTATATCAATTTTTATTTCTTTGATTACTGGCAGGATCAAAATTAAAAATATTTATTAGCTATTTTACTGTAGCATTTTTCTGTGTGTTAATGTTTTCCATATTGATTTTGTAAGCATTCTTTATGCATTTAAGGATATTAACATTTTGTCTGTAGCATTTGTTGCAGGGTTATATATTTTTTTCTTTTTTTGGTCTTGAAATCTACAAATCTGTTTTCTTTTGTAAATTTCCACTAGCTTTATACTATTAATGAGATAATCTTCATTGCTTTGGCAGTAGCCTAGGGAATTAATCCTTAAGATAATGATTTAGTATATCTGATACTAATAAGGTACTGAAATAATGACTTCCTGAAGAAAAGCCTATTATTTATCTATTATGGGTTGTTTCTCATCCTTCATTAAATCCAGTTTTTTCTTGAATTGTGTATTTCATTTTTTAACTTCCCCTCTTATTTTGTATGGCTAATCTTAATTCCAAAGTTCTTGATTTACAAAATCTGGGCAACTTGACAATTTTATGGCACTTTTTCCTTTGAGCTAAAGGTAGAGTATTTTAAAGCACTGAAACACACACACAGACACACACACTCTAAACTATTATAGTTCAGTAAATATAAAAGCAGATGTCAACAAACTTTTATAAACAGGCAAAAATCTAAAATTCATCTAAAAATCCTAGAATACCTTGTAATATTACCTAGTTTCATCATATGCTTGCTAGGTAGGCAGTATCCTCATTATTAAAAAATCAACAAACCTAGTAGAATTAACCAAACTGCCCAAGTCATGCAATAAGGCAATATAAAAGCTTTGAATGGCAATCACAAGTTTTGCTCTGGACACAGTAAACCACATCCACATTTTGTCCTGGGACAACTATTTTTCCTCTTGTGTCTTCAAATCGCATATGACTTTTTTTAACCTTTATTCATTCACTCATTCAACAAACATTTAGGCAGTATCTTCTATGTGCCAAGTACTGTGTTATGTGCTAGGAAAAGCTATTAGATAATTGTTTTTAATAAGAATTTCTTTTCAGCTTGCAAAAATTAGGTAGAAATGTGTTTCCCTCCATGAGTAATAATGACTTTTCTTTTTTAAAAACTATGCAAATTTAATAATCTAATGATTAGATCACTGACAAGGGAGCCAGGAATTTGCTTGGTTTTGTGCTCTTATCTTAGGGCAAAATCAGTGTGTTCCTCAGTTTTCCAGATCCATGACAGGGTTCTGGGTATTCTTAAAAGGCTTGGCTCTTTTTTCTTTTCTTTTTTTAATTAACAGTGGGAAGGAAACTGGGCTCATACTTGAAACAAATCATTTACAAAATAGAAAAATAGTACTTTTTACTATTAGAGATTTTTAAAAATTCTATTAGCTTCTAATTTGCAAACATTATTTTTATTATTATTTCAAGGCAATATGGATAAAAACAAAGTAGGAAGTACTTTTATCCACTGCTGGTGGGAATGTTAAATTGGCATAATCTTTCTGAAAAGCAATTTGGTAGTGCATATATGAGCTTTAAAAAGGTTCATTCCTTTGGACTCAGTAATTGTTCTTCTAAGAATCTATCCCCTTCCCCAAATAGAAATTTGGAAAAAAGATGTCTGTACGAACATGTCCGAACAATATTATAATAGCCAAAAAAGGGCAAATAAATGCCCCCAAACATGGGGAATAATTAAATAATAATGGTGTTCTTATAATCATTATAAATATAATATATATTTACATAAAATATAAATAAAATATATAATCATTTATAATCATTAAAAATTTATTTTCTGACTATTTACGGAAAACACTCACAATATAAGTGCAAATAACCTGGTTCTAATTTATATATATATATATACCCTATCTTGATTTTTAAAAATTATATATGTACATAGAAAGAACATCAAAATGATAGTTGTTATCTTTAGTGAAAGGGATCATGAGTGGTCTTGATCGTTTTGTATATGCCCACAATTTTCTATAATGAGCTTTTACAATAAAAATTTAAGTGTGATTCTTTTAGACTGTTCTGTCAGCTTCAAATGTGTAACGAATGACCACGGTGTGCATATGCTCAGCACTGAACTATTCAAATTTACAAAGCCCTTACATTTTATTCCACTAAGAGAAAGCTACCTAACACTAAGATGCTAGCTATAACCCTAAAATTATTCCAAAGAAGACTTTCTCCGTATCTTAAAAGAAACATGTTGAAAAGAATCCCAGTGAAATGGGGTTTAACTCATAACTAGGCTTGCTGCCCAAATTTTAATTAAAAAAAAAAAGTAAAGCAAGAATATTTCTCTGCAAGGCTTTTCAGCAAGAATACACAGACGAAGGGCTTTTAGTGGAATTTTGGTAAAATTAAGAAAAGCATATACATTGGGCCGGCCCCGTGGCTTAGCGGTTAAGTGCGCGCGCTCGGCTACTGGCGGCCCGGGTTCGGATCCTGGGCTCGCACCCACGCACCGCTTCTCCGGCCATGCTGAGGCCGCGTCCCACATACAGCAACTAGAAGGATGTGCAGCTGTGACATACAACTATCTACTGGG